TTGGACATTTTTGACTTTTTTTCTTCCCGTGCTCAATTTCTAGAATGGCCAAACTTTTACTCCGTAGTTGATTACAAAGGGTACTGTAAATATAACAATGAGGTACTCATACTCTACAGTACAGGTACTTCGTTCCATGGAACATCCCTTGCTCAAGATCTCGGGCATAGCCGCCATTGTTTAGCTGACATCATTGTCACTCCTCGAGCTGAATAGAAACATTCAATGATGACCGTTATCAATTGAGATCCATTGTGGCGAGTACTTGTACTTGTACACACGTGTATACAGAGTAGAGTAAAGTAAAGTACAGTACTCTGTACGTACTGTACGTACTGCAAACTTTGAGCTGCAGCAGTCACACAGATCTTCTGCTTTCATTGGACGCCACACCTAACCTGCATATGACGTAATCACAGTACTTTACAGGTACTTGTTGCGATCGGAAGATTCCTTCTTTCCCCATGTGGTGGCCTGCGTCTGCATCGATTTAGTTGCATCTGTCGCTGTCCATTTCGGTCCGCTGCAGACTGGTACTGTACAGAGTACAGTAAGCCTTTGCTTGTACTTTGTAAAGGCATGAATGTACAAATATTCACGATAACTACTTGTACAGAGTACTCCGTACAGAGAGGATCATATGTACTCCAGACATGCACAGATGAATCACAAGATCGATATGATCCGTCATTTCAACGGTTGCCTCGCGAGTTTATCGGACCGATCGATACATCAACCTGTCATGGCTGCTCCGTGCAGAATCTAGACGAGCTGATTAATTACATGCCACAATTACAAGTAACCTAGGTTAACAAAGTTTTCATATGAAGTCTGACACGTAGAGTAACACCTCATGTATGTCTTGTACGTAAAGCATCAAAACGAGCTTAATCTCCAACGGTTGTCGTTGTCGGCCGATTAGCATTCCAAGGTTCATCGATCGTTTCGTTATATTACTGACACTGAATCATGGGCAAATAAATCGACCAAATAAATCGACCATGGGTCAATTTATTACAATGTCGCTTATTGTTATTCAGGAGAAACAAAAGAAAAAAAAAAAAAAAAAAAAAAAAAACGTGATGATTGGCGGTAATACCTGTCCTCTACGGAAGAACGCACAGACCCCATAATCATCATAATCATAACGGGGACCTGAGGATGACGATGGATCGAAATCGGTGCTCTTTTCTTGTCAACGGTGCGGATCAGACCAAATTAACTAGACTCGTCACGAGTGCTCATCATTCTTATTCTGTCCTGATAATAGTCTCTGTTCATATCCCCGACAGCCACGGAGACCTACGGAGACCTACGGGGTACTCGCGGAGACAAGCTGTATGCGAGTCATGCACACCTGGTCGGAGCTTCATAGCGGCCGGAGTAACTGCTTATCTGGTTGATAGCTTAATCTCCTCATAAAGGAGAGATTGATGAGGGCTGAGCACACAGTGGGATATAGCTTTCGTCGTAATTATTACAGCCACGTCTACGTAGTCTTTTGTCCTGTATCTGTACAGTTAGGCTGGCCCACAGATCTGAGTTAACCGCGGTTAACAACAATCACCTGACAAACTATCCATTTTTGATTAAAATTTCCCCCTCTTTCCAAAATGTCGGATATCTATGGTCGGAGATATACTCGTAGCGGTTTTCTGTTAGCTATGTTAGCCTGTTAGCTCCATGTTAGCTAGCTTGAGCATGGGGACTTCCGGCTAGCCATCCCGGAGGGATGCCGATACATTGTATAGTGTCTTTTTTATTCTACAGAGTACAGATAGCAAACGTACATCGGATCGGATGTAGCATTGTGTATATCTCTCTGCATATACCTGTTTGTGTATCGATCAATCGTGGCGATCTGTGTGAATTCCGGGTACTCGTTGCTGATTAATTCGGGGGTACGGAGTAGATTGCTGTCTTACAGTACTCTTGACAAGACACTCAGAGCGCCGAGTAGAGTACCTACTCCTACACAATCAGTATGTTCTACCACGACGCAATGCGGACTCCTATTCAGAACCAATGGCACGTCTATCGTAACATACAGAGTCATACAGAATACCGATCAAGCCGAGCACAGGCTGGTGGAACCCGATGGCGATCGACAGCGCCAGGAAACCGTTAGACGTTAAGTGCCAGTCGTCCGTACCACACCAGTAACAAAACGGACTCATCACAGCCCATTAATTACTATGGAGCCGCTACTGGACTAGCTTAACTTTTGCCTTTGTCTCTCTGGACTATCATGGTGCCCTGTACAGAGTAAGTATCTTGTAGGGAAGATCGCTAAAACTCCGGAATGATCAAGATCAACCTGGGCTGGGCGGGAAGGGAAAGGAGCGGCGGTTGTGGGTTACTGGAATAGGCAAGAGTCAATGGATGGATGGATTGAGTGCTGATCGAAAGAGTGGGTTGATGTAATTTGCGAGGATGGAGACCGGTTTTGGGGGGTGGATGGAGGAGGATCCGAGCGATCATGATGCTGTGCCGGAGTACTGTGTACCAGTGCGAAGGAGTATTTGCACAGACTAAGCTATGGTACTATAGTATGCGCTGTCTACTATAGCAATATTAATAGAACTATATTATAATTACAGAGTACTATTCGCGTGTTTGTGTGTACTTGTAAAAGTACACACACTACATCGGTAATCTCATTCCGATCTCTAGACCCAAAACAGCAGGTTGACAGGTGGGTCCACCTCATCGGCAGAAAACGGTTTAACGCCGGTGGGTCACATGCAGCCCGACAGATTGGGAATTTCCTGGCCCGCGGGAACTTACTCTCCTCATTTCCCAGCCTGTCCCAGCCTGCTCCCTCCCATGAATGGCCTTCATTACTGTCTGTGCTCATACATTGCACTACGGCTGACTAGGCTACGGGGTCTGGTTTACCGTACTGCCATGCCTTTCAAACCCCTGAATGTGGGCCTCGATCGCTCCGGCCGCCCGTCTGAGATCTCCGGGAAATTCTCCTTCCCCAGTCAACAACATTCCGGGTGCACCCTTGTTGGAGTACGGGACATTCTTCATAGTGTACTTGTACAGGTACAATGTGCAAAGTACAGTGTACTGTACGATGTATGAGTATACTGGATATACACACTGCGCCACAGCTCTACTCTTCTGCCGGTGGCGGAGTTTACTCGGGTTTCCCGGATCACACGAATAAGAGCACGAATCAGGCGAATCAGCTCGATATCGATATCAGCTCGTCTCATCGCCTCTGACGGTCTCAGACCCAACAATGGCTATGATGATAATTTGACCCACTCCAGCTGCAGTCGGATTATTCCCTTGAGTACTCCGTACCGCACGCTGCAGCTGCAAAGTACAGGGTACAGAATACCCCGTGCGCCTGAACGACGCGTCGGCTCCCCAGCTATACGATAGTCAATTATAGCCCGATAAACCGGCCAGGGGATACCGGAACTTGACTGATCGAGATCGAGATGAATGAATCGAGCGTTGCCATATATCCGGACTCCTACTTAATCCGGAGTAGAGTATAAGTGCAGTGCACAGCATTGGTCCCCGAACGACTCTCACGACTCAGTTGTGTCTGAGTCGCCTTCCGTCACGCCGGATACTAAGTCTCGCGGATTCAGGTACATTCGAGTCATGACAGCTGACATGACTCGTTGCTCTCCACTGTTCACGCCTCATTTCCCGGATGACGGCTTCTGGAAGCTGTCGTCGAATTGTTCAACGGTTTTCCTACCACATGGGATAGGGGAGGTAATAAGAGGGACATGACTCGACATTTTACTATGTACTATGTACAGTAAGAACACCCGTGCATACTCTACTTATACTTTGTGGAGAGTGCGTCACTATCCGGTCTTACTGACTCTACCTATCACCTGTCATCAAACTAGCCAACGGCGCATACCAAAATGGTACTACGCAGTCAGCTTAATCATATTAAGCCCCATATACTTATCCATATCCAGACTAGGGACTTTCCATCCTTCCGGGATTCAGCTGAGTCGAGTCGCGCTGGCCACTTTACATCTCATGAAATCGACAACCACGGAGCCTACGGAGTGTATCCCGAAATATTCTCCATACGCACCTCATCAATCCACTTACCTATCAGGAAACCAACCTCGGATTCCAGCCTGTGGCTGGCGCGGCGGCCCTTGCAAATTCCAACTCCCTGGTACGGAGTACTTGACAGCTAACGGCCATACATGGTACTAGTTAAATTCCGGATTCCCGGCCGGTCAGCTAACCCACTCGCCATCACGATAGCCTTCTTTTGGTCCGCAGTGTTTTCTCGATATGGTATTCCGTCCGGATTGCTATTACTCTGTTGAGATACGTACGTACGTACACCATTGTCCATCCTTTGTCAAGGACTCGAAATACAGGATGCCCCGTGCTCCGGCCGAGTCGTTACCTGGTAAGCTGGTCAATCCTAATCAAACGTTGTACTGGTGCCTATCATATCTGTACACCCTGTTACCACCATAACGGCGACAGGGGATGTGTACGCACCCCATTTTACATATGGCCTTAGCTTCCTCCGGTCCGAGGCATCCCTGTTGTATTTTGTTGGTATATGCCGGTTCTCAGAGCCGTGAGTGAATCGATAGATCGTAATACAGAGTACATAGCGTTGTATTTCGGGATTTGTGCTATTATTGTATCCGTATGTTGTATGGAGTAAAAAAATATGTTGACACGATGCAAGATGATGGTGAGTTATGATGACTGTGCAGCGCAGCTGCAGAGTTTTATGCAGTTTTCTTATTTTTGGGGGTTTGATATGTAGACTGCAAATGACTGACATGATACTTCGTACGGAGTAGACTGTTTTGGTCGTCTACATGGATCTTTCGTGCGTACTCTCATCCTTGCCACAGTTTTTACAAATACATGATACATTGCTAACGCTCTGTTCTACAGATTCATCAGGACGAAAATAGAACGACCATCCTACATCTTTGATTCCCGATACTCCTAACGAATGACCTACTCAAATCCATTGCCACTGACAATTGATGGATAAACATCCTCCAAAGCACAGACATCTGGTCTGAAGTAATCGTCTCAGAAAAGACAGCTACTGTGGATCAGCGACAACAGTCGAGCTGTCAATCTGCATTGTCTCATTTGTCCTGCTCTGGAAAAGGAAACCAGATATGCAAGTGACTCTTTCGGGCGGTATTGCTCAGACAAACGGTGAGTTGGTCTCTTGGAATCCTGCTCAATTGCTATACACTGCTCTCTGCACTAATATACACTTTCCTACCGCTCATACACATCAGCAATCGAATTAATATACTCAATCGCATCCTTCCGCCACGTATCCCCCTCCATCCGACTCGTCGTCGCATTCGCATCCGCATCAAACAAAATATCCACCTCGTTTCCATTACCATCACCATATCCATCCCACCTCACAAAATCCCCCGAATGCGACCCAACAGCATTCGGATCCAACTCATAAATAAACCCCGCCCACATACTCGCCATCATCTCGCTCAACCGCACCCAACTCTCCGGCGTCTCTGCCGTAAACGGCTTCCCGTCATGATATCCCAGTCCTGCGATGTTGTTGAATACGAAGGCGACTTCTTCGAAGTGCGCTGAGCCAGATGTATATGACACGTCTGCACTGCGCACGTTGAAGCGGTAGCAGTAGGCTGGTGTGGAGGTTTCGGCCCAGGCGCTGCACTGCCGTCGGCGGTTCGCGTGCATCATGTAGTCGCCGGTGTAGGCGTTTGTGCGGCGCCATTGCAGACCCTTGGAGGCGATGCGGGTGTCGCCAAGGTACGCTGGGATGCCTTGTGAGGGGTCATCGGGGTAGAGGGTTAGGAGGTTGTGAGCGATGGGGGAGGGGAGGGGTGGGTCGGATTGGTTGCCTGGTTTGTTAGCACGTACATACTTAAGTAGGTTGGGGGGGGACACACCTGTAAGATAAGTGTAAAAATGCTCAGTCGTATTAATCCCCGTCGGTCCAAACGACGTCCCCTCATCCGAATTCGTCCCAGCAATAACAGGCACCTGCACGAACTCATGCGCCCCCAACGACAAACTCCCCCTCTTCCTAATAAAATCCTCATCAATCACCGGTAAAAACCAATAGACTGGATCACCACCCGTCCCATTAAGCGCTCCATTCAACTCCTCAAACGGCACCTCCCTTAAACACTGCAACGCCCCCTTCCCAGACCCCTCACAGCCCACCTCCTTAACCAACGCATCGAAATCATCCTGGTACGACGACCCGTCAACAAGTGGGCTTGCGGAAATTGGCCCGCCGGATTCCAAGATCCCCCCGCGGAACAAGTGGTCGTCTCGGCCCCCGTACGCGATGAGATGGTAGCCCACTGACATACCGCCGGCGGATTCGCCCCAGATGGTGACTTTGTCGGGGTCGCCGCCGAAGGAGGCGATGTTTTCGCGGATCCAGTGCAGGGCGAGTCGTTGGTCGCGGAGGCCAAGGTTTGTGTTGCCGCTTTCTGTGACTTCGTGGGAGCTGAGGAAGCCCCAGGCTGAGAGGCGGTAGTTTATTGTTACCGCGATGAAGGGTTTGCCTAATCTGTTAGTATCTCGTCATGTCAACTTAATATGGTGCTAGCTTACCGATTCTGTGCGCGTTGGAGACGATAGCAGACATGTTGTATCGCTCGTCTGCGCCGGAGCCCTGATAGAAACCTCCGCCGTGGATCCAGACGCCGACGGGGAGTTTCGAGTCCTCGTCCACTGATGAATCACGAATAACATTGAGCGTGAGACACGCCTCAGACATGGAATACCAGATCGAATCCGTCTATCACATCAGTATCGCACAAACTTAACTTATCAAAGAGAGTGACTTACTCCATATCCCACACAGCTATCCGAATACGCCTTTGCATCGCGCTCCCCATCCCACGTCTCATTCAACGACTGCGGCACAGTAAGCCGCAGGTTTCCAACCGGTTGCTGCGCATAGGGAATACCCAGGAACAGGTCTTGGTTATAGTTTGTGTTCGTTGCGCCGGCATATGTTCCGTTTTTAACCTGCACGACAGGACTCGATGTATCGCGTCGTGTAGGCGCGGCTTGTACGCCTGCCCAGAGAGCGAGGAGACCAACGACTGTGCGAATCATTGCTATTTGTTTTGTTGGCAACCTACACACGGCATTGAAAGTATCGTGTGCCACTCGTATATATATTTCCACAATGCGGGGAATTAAGCCGCTTCCCATAACCCACAACACCAGATGAGGCCTTTTCAACGCCATTCCGATATAAGCACCGATATAAACACCGGCACGTGTCTGGCATAAAAACCCGGCATATCTTCCCAAAACGATACGATCCGGGAAGTCCGAAGACTCCGGAGAATTTAATGATGTCGCTCAGACCTCTGGTTTGCGGAGTATACGCTTCATAGTTACCCGTTTAGGAAACGATAAACCCTTGGAAACGCGGAGAAACTGCGGCTGGAGGGCTTGGCCCATGTGGTTTTGTTTGGGGATTGGTAGGTTTTGTTGGTAGGGGGCCGAGGATTTGCCGTTTTGGCTGGTCAGGTAAATTCGACGGCGATGGTTTACTCGGGTGAACATTGGGCCTATCTTACTCGATGCTGCTTGCTCATTTCGTTGTACAGAGTACAGTAAGATATCGGCTCATGCTATCCGGGATCGAATCCGCGCTAACAGACAGGTCCGTCGTAGGGTCAAGGGGTGAGATTACTACTACCTCCGTACAGAGAACGGAGTGAACTGCTATACAAGAAGTACAAGAAGTCATTCAGCAGAATTTCTTGCAACTTGCGCGTGATTATACTCGTAATCGAATAAAGTTTCAAGCTTGATTTCATTAACAGAAAACATATCATAGCTAAGCTTCAATGATCGCGAAGCTTCTTCCAGCAGCCTTTAGGACGATCAATCGAATTCGAAGTCGTCGTCTTCGACTTCTCCGTATGGGTCGTCGTCGTCGTCGTCCCAGTCATTTTCTTCGTCGTCACTGTCTTCCTCTTCATCGTTGTCGCTATTGTGGCCACTTCCCGCACTACTCACGCTGGTTTGGCTGCCCTGACTGCCCTGACTGCCATAGCTGCCATGACTCGCCTCGCTTCCTTCACTGCCAGCACTGCCCTCACTTTCAACACTACCCGCCTCACTACCCTCACCATCACCGTCTCCACCACCGTAGCCACTATCATTACCACTGCTAGAATCACCATCGCCAGCATCATCAGGAACATCAAACCGCAGATTCGCCGTATCAATCCTAGACCCTAGCATTAGCCCCAACCATAACCATCACCAAAAAAAGACGTACCACTTTCCAACCCCCATCGCCATATTCTTCACGTCCATCGTGCTCTTGCGAGAGGGGTCTAGGAAGGCGTAGCCCACGACTCGTGACTTGCTTTCTTCACCACCGCTGGTGATGGTGATGTTTCTGGCGACGAGGGCCGGAACGGGGAGGTAAGTTGGATAAGCAGTGGTGGTGTCGTCTTCGTCGGAGAAGGGCATGTTGTCTTGGATGTTTTCGAGGGAGGGGATGTCGCGGGTGAGGACCATGACGGTGTTGCGGAGGTGGTGTTGGGAGATTTGCTGGATGTCTAGGAAGTCGAGGTTCATTGACATTGTATGGGTTGTTTAGTTTAGATGTGGCGTAGTTGTAGTTAGTTGTAGTTGTAGTTGTAAGGTTTGAGAAGGTGCTTGGTGCTTCTCAAGAGGAATGTTGACAACGCGTTGGTAGTGAAGGGTGGAAGGGTCATGTCCTCCAGTGTCAACACATGGTGTCACTGTCACTGACAGCCATCGTTAAGTGTTTTGCTTCACTGACATCTAGGGCTTTTTGATGGAAGCCAAGATGGATTAATGGCTCGATTACCGAGGCCAACAGATTCCTCATATAGGACACCATAGCCATACGCTTTAGATGGCTAAGCATTCATTCTATTATCATAGTGGATATAGTCTATCAATATCACTCTTTCGTGTAATTCAAGTTCCTAGCCTTTAACATCGTGCAGTCCGGATAATCGACTCCCCGATTCCCCGATCCCTGAGCTACCCGGTCTCTTCACTTTTGTATACAGTCATGTGACAAAACAAAAAGCTCTTATCAGGTAATTTACCGTACGATTACACACGATAAGATGTGGCGTCACGTGCGGGGAAGCTCCCCACTTGACAGCTGTGACGGCATTCGGACGCTTTCTTAATTTATCTATATTCTTCAGAGTCATCGGATTTGGAAGTTTCTTTGTGTATTGATCTGGCTGCGTGACTTGAGCATCAAAGAAACGGACATCTCGAACGAATCAACCAGAAATGGCGTCTCTCGTCCCCCTCTCAGAAATCCCAACCGCATCTCTACTATACAAACTCAAGCGCTTAGCTCCAGCTACAAGTCAAGCCCTGAGCCCTTCGCAAGCCTTTAACGACAAAATATCCCTCATCCGAAACGATATAACCAAGCTGCAAGTCGACTGCATCGTCAACGCAGCAAACGAATCGCTCCTCGGCGGCGGCGGCGTCGACGGTGCAATCCACAAAGCTGCAGGTTCGTACCTGTATAACGAGTGCTGTACCCTGCGCGGATGCAAAACCGGTGATGCGAAAGTTACCTCCGCCTACAACCTCCCGTGCAAGAAAATCATCCATACGGTTGGTCCCGTGTATCGTCTTGAGGAATGGCCCGAGTATCTATTGCGGAACTGCTACCGGCGCAGTTTGGAGTTGGCTGTGGAGAATAATATGAGGAGTATTGCTTTTCCGGCTATTAGTACCGGTGTCTATGGATATCCGTCCGAGGAGGCTGCGTTGGTTGCGCTGGACGAGGCGCGGCAGTTCTTGGAGAATCCGGATAACATCGGTCAGCTGGAGAGGATTGTGTTTTGTAACTTTGAGCGCAAGGATGAGAAGGCCTATGAGAAGTGGTTTCCGTAAGTTCCCTTCGCTATGAGTATTCCGTGGATTGAGCTAAATATTGCAGTAAATTCTTCCCACCAACGGAACAGGACCCCCCCAACTCGAGCACCCAGCAAAACTCCCAGAAAGCTGATGGTGAGTTCTCACCATCGCCTGAGATCCTCGCAGCCAAGCTCCCTGATCCGCCCACCGAGGACCCTGCCCTGAACGGCCAATCGGAAGCTAAGAGACAGAAACTTGATCCAGACAACCTTGGACACAGCAGCATAACCATGATCGACGAGAGAAGTGAAGATGAATGGGAGGAAGTCAATAGATCCGAAGACGAGGGTGATAAGTTTGAGAGACTTAGAAGATCCGAAGTCATTGATAAATCTGAAGAGACGGATGACGAGCCTGTCGAGGTTGACCGTGCTTCGTCGGCGGCTGATGTGCACAGTGTACAGTCTAGTGGGATCCTGGGTATGGATGGGTCTCATGAATATCGTTCAGTGGGCAATATGCTGGAGAAGGATTGGTAGTTCTTTGACTTTGGGACTGGATGGGATTACGGCGACTTTATGTTTGATGAATCGGCGCATGGGATTGAACTGTGGCAATTTGACTGGCTTTTCTTCTGTTTATGATATCTTTACATTAATTTTTATTTCCTGGCTGAGTTATGGTTGTTGAAATAACTACTTTCGTCATGGAAATGCAAACCCTGCAAACATACCGCGGAACTCCGATATCAGCGATCTCTTCACGCGAACAAACCTACCCAATTGCTCAAGCATAAGAAAAAGACAAAATGAATTGATTGTACAGAATTATAGCCAACCTCTCAAACCACTCAGACTCAGTTTCCATTGGCTCTATCCCCCCCCCTCTTCCCCCTCGAGCGCATAGCCGTCATCCACTCCGCACACGACAAGCACCGTCACAAAACAACATCATAATGTCTCGACCTCAACTTCCCAAAGGAAACACGCCACCCAAATTCCGAGTCCTCGCACCCGAAGTAGCCCAATCCCGCTCAAAACCCTCACCCTCACCCTCCGAACCCGCCGCCGCCTCATCCTCCGCCGCAAATCCCCAACACCAATCACACCCACACCCTTCCAACTCCAACTACGCCAACAACCCCAAGAGCAGACCCTCCTTCTTCACCCGCTTCCAACAAACCTACACCTCCCTCCCCCACCAAGTCCGCACAACAGCCCGCGTCCTCCGCTTCCTCGTCCCCGCCATCCCAATCGGGATCTTCTTCTCAGAACATGTCTTCCAGGTGATGTGGGTGCGCGGGCCGTCGATGACGCCGTACCTCAACGAGGACTACGAGAGGATGCATACGAAGAGCGATATGGTGCTTGTGAATATGTGGCCGTGGGGCGGGAGTGGGTGGCCCTGGGAGAGGAAGAGGAGGTTGGAGAGGGGGATGGTTGTTACGTTTCGGTATGCCCCCGCGTTTTATAACTGAGATGGAGGGGATGTTGGAACGAGGAAAAGATGCTAATGGATGTAATATGTAGGTCACCAGCAAACCCAACCCACACTGCCCTAAAACGCGTCGTCGGCCTCCCTGGCGACCGCATCACAACCCGTGACCCGTGCATGAAACCCTCGCAAATCGTCCCCTTCAACCACGTCTGGTTAGAAGGCGATGCGGAGGACCCAAGGAAGTCGCTTGATAGTAATACGTACGGACCGGTTAGTGTGTCGTTGATTACAGGACGGGTGATGGCTGTGCTGTGGCCGAGGTGGAGGTGGTTGAAGTGGGCGGATTGGGAGAGGGGAGTTGTGGAGGGGGGTGAGGGGGGGAGGTTTGGGGGGGATTATCGGAGAGGGGTTAGGGAGAGGGTGTTGAAGGAGGCGGTTAAGATGGAGAGGCCGATGTTGGAGTAGATGGCTTTATGTATAGATGTATAGTAGTGTGTGTGTGTATACCCTATGTATAGAAGTTTAAGTAGCAGAAGGGTGTTTCAAGGTTTCTGATATGGTGAGCTTCCGCTGTCTCTCGTATTCCGTATCCTGCTCTGCAGGCTATGTGCAGATAGAAGAATGCTAAATCACAGGCCTTCTATACAACAAGACATGCATCGCCATAGATCCATCATGTATGCCGAGTGACTCTGGATGAGACAGAAACATAACAAAAAGGCATCAAAACACCGTATAAAACACAACACTTTCCCCATGCACCAGACGGAATAGAAACAGAAACCACAACCTCTTTTCCTCCTCCCCACCGCGAAACCGGAACTCGACTCGGCCGATATAACTAAACTCTTCGTCAAGTGAGGGCTCCTTGAAACGTCGGCCGAAATCTCAGAATGCGATGCCGAGGTTCGAGATTCAGGGTCCTATCATCGAATACATGTTAGTTTGTCTTCTTCCTGTGTGAATGGGAATGTAGGTGAGTGAGGTGTACCAATGTATGATTTACAGCACGCACGGCGTTGTTGTGCTTGCACAACTCCGGGGAGGCGAGGAATAGCACGCAGCGGATGGGGATTTTTACTCAAACAACATGCAATCTGAACATCTCTTGATAACGCCAACCAGGCCCTCTCGGCATTTATCTGAGAGCAGGAAGAAGTCACGTCTTGACAACAGGTAATATAGCAGTATGTCATGATCAATCGAGGAGCTCACTAGGGCTTGAGGCGGATGTGATGGTGCAGGTGGTGTCGATGTAGTTGCCGCTGCCGATGTTATTTAAATTGTCGGAAAAGGTATTCTTACAATGTAAGATTTATATGGAATTGTCATTCTGTCTTGGTAGAGGCGTTGCAGCAGCATCAACCTCGTTCTCATCCTCCCAGTCCTCATGGCCGTACTTTTCGTCAACCCCCGAAAGCCGGGCAATCCGATCCAAAACCCACCGCAACTCCAACAAGTCGACGGACGCAAGCGGCATCTCAACAGGATCGTGGGTGGTCATCGTGATCCTATACCCCGAAGTAATCCTCCTACGATTTGCATTATAAATCTTGCCCTGATTCGGCGCGGAGGCAAGACCACTCGGTAGAGACGGGCGAGAACACAAGCTCATGCTGACCACCCCATACGGATTCGGCATCCAGTACATGTCCGCAGTCAGCCACGTCCCATCTCCTGACTCTGCGATCGGCTTCAGACAAAACATCCCGTGGTCCCAATACGCCCCTACGTGTAATCCGAAGGTGATGTAATTGGCGCACGAATCGATGGCGCGTGTTGCATTTCGCCAAGCGGTCACTTTTGACGGGGACCAGAAGAGCGCAAGGGTGTTCCAGAATTTTTCGAGATCGGGGCTGTCGTTGAGGCCGGGGGAACATATGGAGTAGGCGTCGGTTTTGTTGATGTCTGGCGCGGCGCAGGTTCCGTTGTCTGTGGTGAAGATCTGGGGTTGTTTGTTAGTTATCGTCTGGACATTGAGAACGGATTCAATTAGATACTAACGAGTGGTTCTCTCTCATTATCATGTCTGCCATAGCCCATCCCTAAGACAGAGTCAACGAATGCCTCTCGAAAGTTGAGTATAACTTACACATCCGCAGGACTTCCCTTACCACCGTACTCTCCGGGGCGAATACCTCCTGGACTCTCTGGCTTCCTGCTTGTTTGGCGAGTTCGCGAAGACAATCAAGATCAGCAAACCAAGCGGCCAACCAAGCCTCCGTACTCGTCTCGTTGAAGCCCAGAGCATGGCAGAGGTTTGTAATCGCCTCCAGGCGGCCTTGTTGATCGAGCTCAGGGGCGGCGGACATTGTGCTTGACACGGAGAGAGAAACCGGAAGAGAGAGTGAGAGGAAGAAAAAAAAAAAAAAAAAAAAAAAAAGAGATGAGTTGTGGCCGAAAAGTGGGAAACATTCACTGGTGTCAGTGGGTTGACAGGTTGGCGAAGCGAATTGTACAGTCTATGGCAATCGGCACTTCAACAAACTGATTTCCCATTTGACAAGGACCTACTCATACGTATCTGTCTCTGCTATTTGTGTGGCTATTGACAAGGGAATAGAGGTGATTCGAATGCGCTTCAAACAGTAATCCCCCTACCGGAAACCACTGGCTAGGGCTACTAGTGAACAATAATGAACAACACAACTGAACATAACAATGTCATCCTGTCATAAGCATGCCTAGGCACGGTATGACAGTAAGTACAGGTGACAGCAACCGCATGTGACCCTAAGAACCTAGGTGGTACAGATGGTGACTTCTATATCTATTTCATATTCAGCCAGCGTCCAGCTGAACCAAGACCTGACCCAGAGAAAAAAATCCTCCTAATCTCCGATACAATCATCTCTAATACATCAAGCCCTCCAAATGAGAATGTGCTTCCCCAACCAAAAACCCACCACCCAACGAACCCCAACAACCTTCCTACCCCCCTCTAACCCAACAACGACCAAAACAGACACAGCAACATCCCTAACCCACCAAACCGAAACCCAAGCCATGCTCTCCGTAACAACCGGCTTCCTCTCCGCCATCTCCTCCAAATCCCGCTCCGACTTCGACCGCTACTGCATCCGCGCCGGTGGCATGGCTCTCTTCCCACCAACCCCCGCAATACCACGCTTCTGCACAATCGGTTCCTTCGTGGAGCAGATTTCCAAGCTTAGGGATGAGATTGATGAGAGGATTTGGGATCCTGAGGTTACGGTTTTGGGGGACGGGGGGATGGGGTTTGGGTTTGTTTGGGCACCGTTTCGGGCGAAGGTTAATGGGGTGGTGAATCATGTTGGGGTGGAGTTGTTTGTGTTGCATAAGGTTGGAGGGGAGTGGAAGGTTACGGGGATGGCGGATTCTTGTCGCGTGCCGACGGAGGACGAGAGGATTTCGTTGGCTTAGAGTCTTTGTTGGGTTCGCGGGGAGGGGAGGGAGGGGGATGTTTGGATATACATGAGAGATAACATGATTGATTCTATAGGAACGTGCTATTGACATTAACGTCTATGATCTATTTCTTTTCCCCCGGAGCATCTCCCATCCAACACTCCCATTCTTCCCCTCCTTAACAGCCATCTCATCAACCGCCTTGACAAGATCGTAGCAGACTTCCTCTGAAACGGCGCTGTCTTTCTTGTATGCCGGATGCTTCGCGACGTATTCCCGGATCCATCTAGCCCCAGTCCAGAGCGTACCATCAGCACGTTTCCGGATCAAATCGAGGTAACTAGCGAGCGAGCATCTCGTCTCAACATCAACGTTGACGCTGTCCAGATACGATTCGACAAGAGGAATCAATCCAGGGAACTCTCCATCTGCTGAGCCGTTGATGATTTCCGAAATTGTCATGAGATCGTATTCCATCTCTACTGGAACAAGCGGTGGTGATGGCGGAGGCGTGTTAACAGCTGAAGAAGCAGCAGATGACATGTTGCTGCCATTAGCTGAGTGTTGCTGTCTGCGCACGCGACGGGGGAACGGATCCTTGCGGAAGTAGAATTTGCTGTCGAGAACGCCGTCACGAGCATGTGCTGTTTCCATGTTCTCCGTCGTCCGTTGGATGGGGATATAGAAGTTCAGGTCGAAACTCAAGATAGCACGGGTGACGAGGACGATGAAGATGCTGAACGCGGCATTCTCAAAGTCTGTCATTTGGACTTCCATGGACCGGAATTCGACTCGCCAGCCGATGTCGTTCTTCTCGGGTGGTGGGGGCTTGAAGCGCATGTGTTGCCAGTTTGTGGATTGGAGGTTCTCGAAGTGGTCTGCTTTGTTAAGGTCGAGCTCTTCAAGGTCTTCGGAGAAAATGACCAGGGGGTCGCGGATGAAGAGGTGTGCGAAGTGGGTGGCCAGGACATCGTCCATGCCGCCTTCTATTAAGCGCTTCTTGATATCTTCGTCCACAACCAGATCTGGATCCAAGTATTCTTTTCGCAATCGAGGGTCTTGGGAGATGTATGTTGAGTTTGAGGCGTATCGGGATTTGGGTATCCTCCATCTGTCATTTTTGAGAGGCTGTCTATGTTAGCTTTAATGCAATTCACATGGTGTCCCGTAAACTTACCAATTCACCAAGCTCTTCAGGAGTCCTATCATCAACAGCTCTGCTGATCTGGTTCCACCGAGAATCCGTATCTACTAGGAATCCCTTGTAGATCGGGGTCGCGGCAGTAAGTGCCATGAGAATCGGACCAAGAGGACTCAACTGGTCGTACAGTTTCCTCCCCTCGTTGATGTTCTTCGCCTGAAAAGTGATTTGAAGACAGCAGCTGCCCATTCCAAAAGCCATGGCATCCATGTAAACATGGTCGTCCTTGGCGGCTCCGTTCCTAACATCATCGTCCTCGGGCCAAATGTGGAGATCGTAGTCCACAGTCGGGTCTTTGAACGGAGAGGGTGTATTCGTGTCCTTGAAAACCGGCACGTTCAATTCGACCTTTCGACCCCTTCTAGACCGGATGTTCGCAGCTAAAGTCGGGAAACGGATATGAGGATTGGCGATCTCGTCGGGGACGAATTGCGAACGCAATGCTGGTCCGGATGGGGGATAGTATGGTTGAATGTAGTCGTCCTTTGTACCCAGGCGAGGGAACGTTGTCATGGTGACTGGGTATTCGTTCGATGCCATATGCGCTTTCGCAACCTCTCGTCTTCGCATTGTTAGAATTGGATGGATCCTCATGAAAATTTCCAGCTTACCTCCTCTTCATATTGCCCTCGACCTTTAGCAGGTCTTTGAAATCAATCCCCCATGGCTTTGCCGGGGTAGCCTCCAGCATGAATCGTCCGAATTCGGGGTGGAAGTGCGGTGGTTCAGAGCCAGCCCTACACACCGTCAGTATCCTGTATTGTATCCAAGCCATCGACCTCACGCACCTTTGCCCATCTTGGTTCTCTCCACCTTCTGACGTCCACAATGCCTCATCCCGGGCTAGCGATTTGAGAATATCGGCTTGCGCTAGGGATAACCGGGCTTTCTTCGCATGTTCGTCGACGGCGACAACGAGGTATTCGACCTATAGTAGGACAAGAATTAGCAAAAGAACCGTAACCCGAGCGCATACCGGAAAACTCACCTCGTCACCCCAGAGAAGAGCATCCCTCTCCTTCCCCTTTGCTCTGTTCCAAATAGCAAGCAATTGCTAACCCAGTTAGTCCAGCCCATGTCGTAACTTCCGATACGCGAAAGGAAATTGTCGTACCTCGATACCCCATTCGCGAACCTGATGCGCTCTCTTCTTCGCTTCCGGCCATTCCAGGGCCGTTCCGAGTGCTCTGTAGAACGAACATGCGACATTAGCAATCATCCACCGGTGTCAGCGTTCTAATTTGGCACAATAACGTACAATAAGCCCATATTATAATCCGGAAGTCCTGGAAGTACACAAAACCTCGCGAAAACACAGGACGGAACTTTGCGATATTTGGATGCCGGGAACCCCGCGGAAGCAAATGAGGGGATCAAACCCTTGCTCTATCGCAATGCAAGACAAGGAAGAAAAACAAAGAAAAAATAAAGAAGCGACACACAGTCGTATGTTTAAACGCGCCTCGATATTAAAAATAGATCTTAGAATCCTGGAAGTATGTAGAAGTTGTCGTCGACTTTATGTCACGGCTTTTCCCGCGGGGATGATTTTGCCTCTTTAAGCCCGGCCTTTTCTCCACTTAGAATTGCTTAGGAAGTCATTCATGGCTTACGGTGGTTTTTGATTTTCTTTTTGCTTCTTTTCGGACTGTTGTTGCTCTGTTTGGCCGTGAGATGATAAATCCTGAACTTTGTAGTGGGGCAAAGGCGCACTTCTAATATGCACTGCGTCTGATTTATCGGCGATAACGCTGTTTGCGCCGCACAAAAATCCAGGAGCAGACCTGGATTTCTAAGCATTCGGAGGGGGGATCATGTGATGTTTACTTAATCTACAGCAGTCTACGAAAGGAAAGAATAGACGAGAAGGAAAACAGAGAAGGAGAAAGAGAGCAAAATTCCCGGTCCTACCTTTTTCTGTCACTTCGTAATACAAGGCAGCTGGTTCGCCTGGTCCCCACGGAGATCTCCCGGGAGCCTCGCCATCTGAACTACCTATGAACACGGAGCAATACTGCCTCACGCCGACAGGATATATCATCAGATACTACAGACGAGGCTGAGAACCAATTGGGCCCAGGAATTCAATGGGATGGTATCGGCATATCGTCTCAAAGGATTCCCAACGCCAGATTCTGTGTGTGAATGGAAATGCAGTTCCACAATCGCTATGTACATAACCCGCTGCTTTTGCTTTGTCTCGAACGATTCCGCCATATGCGCCTGCAACTATCTCAATTGCTCCGGGCACCATCCTTGGCCGCACGGAGTTCGTCCATCTTGGCGACACGCTTCTTGAATTCCTCATACTGGCACTTTTCGTAGCTGTGGCGCTCGTCCTGTTTAAGTCGCAGTTTGTATCAATCAATCTGTTTTCTCAAGATGGTATGAGTATAACCGAGAGGGCCCGTACCTCGCACTTCCAGGGAAGGTAGTATTCCGCCTGTCGGCATCGGTTCAATGGGATCAGGAGGTTCGCACACGAGTCACGGTACTGGAGGGGGAGACGGGCGTCGGACATTTCTTGCCGGGAGGCAGCTGTATGAGAGTGTCAATAAACCGAGTCCAATGACGAATAATCGAACAACACCATGTCGTTCGAATTGGTAAAGGCTAGGAATCATACCAGTGCCGTCCCCAAGGCCAACGGTGTTCTTGATCGTCTCAGTAACAGTCATCTTGGGCAGGACAGCGGTGCAGATCAAGCAGGGTTCGGAGGGGGCGTCTGTATTTGGACCGGCGAGGTTTGAGCTTCCGCGGTGATGTTCGTTCCCGCTCTCCGATATGGGTCATGTGATACCACGTGATGCTATCGCTGTATCGGGACTAGCGCCGCCAAGGCCACTTTACGCGGTTGACTCTCGAGGCGCGTCTCCGTCTCACTCCGTCCGCCAAACCATCGCGTTATCGAAATATCACGACGAGTCACCCGTGACTGATTTCACTGACCTTCCTTGAATTCCATACTGTATGTGATGCCTTGAGGTCTAATTGCTGTGTTTTTGTGCTGTGTTGCTGATGATGGCTGGGAAGACCGTTGAGATTGTGGTCCAGGGCCGCGTCGGCGCTCTACTTGCCTGTTATCCGTTCGGCAACCTACTGAACAGTTAAGCGCCTTGTACAGTCGCCATCATGGGGGATGTGGATTATTCTAAGATATATTCTGCTACATATAGCAATGTGAGTTTTTCTTTTTCCTTTTCTTCTTTTCTTATCTTCCAATCAACTTCGACTATCTTTGTCTTGCGCATGTCCCTTGTTTGGAAGCGCGGTGTAACCAACATTGCCTAGGTTCCAGTATATGAATACAAGCTCGAAACCGACAGTGTTATGCGAAGGCGGAGTGATGATTGGATAAATGCGACACATATACTCAAAGCTGCCGGATTCGACAAACCAGCAAGAACACGCATTCTCGAGCGCGAGGTCCAAAAAGGAGTTCACGAAAAAGTACAGGGTGGTTATGGAAAATACCAAGGTATATTTTTTCAGACAAAGCATCTCAATTGGCTCCTCGTGCTAACATGAAACCGCTAAGGAACATGGATTCCGCTCCCCGAAGGCCGTCAGCTCGCGGAGCGTAACAACATAATTGACAAATTAAGACCTATCATCGAATATGTAGCAGGGGACCGCAGCCCTCCACCAGCGCCAAAACATTCAACCGCATCGAAACCCAGAGCCCCGAAGAATACCGCGAACGCCCGGAAGACAGCGAATGCGAATGCGAATGCGAATGCGAATGAAGATGTCTTCAGCGCCGTCAAGCAACACCACCCCATGGGGCCACCGAGCTTCCCCCACGAGCAATACGAGATGAGCACCGGTATGGAAGAGGATGAATCGATTGAGCAGGCTACCCTCGAATCATCGTCAATGGTGGCAGACGAAGAAATGATGCCAATGTCCCAGCATGGTGGAGCATACTCGCGGAAGCGGAAGCGCGGAATCAATGAAGTTGCAGCAATGTCGCTCAGTGAACAGGAGCATATCCTCTATGGAGATCAGCTTCTCGACTATTTCATGACCGTTGGAGATGCCCCAGAAGCCACTCGGATTCCTCCGCCGGAACCGCCGGCCAACTTCCAAGTGGACCGTCCTATTGACGATTCGGGGAATACCGCACTACATTGGGCGTGTGCAATGGGTGACTTGGAGATTGTGAGGGATTTGCTACATAGAGGTGCTGATGTCAAAGCACTGTCTGTCCATGAGGAAACGCCACTTGTGCGCGCAGTCCTTTTTACAAACAACTACGAAAAGAGAACGTTCCCGACACTCTTGGATTTACTTTTCGATACGGTTTCTTTCCGAGATTGGTTTGGTGCGACAATCTTCCACCACATATCCGAAACCACCAGAAGCAAGGGAAAGTGGAAGAGTTCACGGTATTACTGCGAGATTCTGTTGGACAAGCTGCGCCAAATGTGCTCCCAAGATGAATTAGACCTGCTTCTATCATGTCAAGACTCGAATGGCGATGTGGCAGCCTTGGTGGCAGCCCGAAACGGAGCTTTTCGTCTGGTGAATTTACTCCTAACATGTTGCCCACGTGCATCGGATTTGGTGAACGAGAAGGGCGAAACGGCCACGAGCATTAGCCAACGGGCACAACATGCCGAAAGCGATATTCCACCAGCTCCGTCGTCAATTACGATGGGTAATGACCACATTGATGGGGAAGTCACTGGGCCGGTCAACACTGATGCACAGGTTGATGATCCGCCACCAGATCCGTCCGCAGCGACATCTGACCTAATTTCGAAGATTGGAGTGATCATGGCAGAGGCTAGCAAAAAGCTTTCTACGAGCTACGGGAACACCAAACCAAACCAGCAAGATTCAGATGACATTGCGAATCCCGAGACCTTGTACGAGCAATTGGAGCAGGATCGACAGAAGATCCAAAGGCAATCAGCAGCGCTAGCGGCCAAGGAAGCAGAACACGGATCTGTTGATGCACAACTTGGGCGATATGATCAACTAAAGCGCAACTACGAGTCGCTTCTAGAACAGGTCCAACAATCACGTCTCCTCGAACGAGCACCTGCGTTGGAGGACAACAAGCCTCCATCGACCAGAGACCATAACGAACTCATGACGACCTACTATCTATCCCGACAACTCTGCTCAGCACAAAAGGTGCGTCGGACCGCGCTAAAAGATCTCGCGCAACAGACCGCAGATGCTGGAGTGAGCACGAAGTTTGACGTTCATCGCAAGCTGGTAGCACTTGCGACCGGGTTGAAAGAGGATGAATTAGATCCGATGGCTGCTGAGTTGGCTGAGACTTTGGAATTTGATCGTATGGATGGCAAGGGCTCTGGTGCGCAGTCTCCCGAACCCCAACGGCAACAAGCACAGAATAAGGAGCCTGCGTCACTTCCTTTCCCTGGGCCGGTACCTGTTGATGCTTGAGGTACTTCCTTTTCCTTCTCTTTTCTCTATTTGTATTTCATACCTGCTATATGTTTTTCTATGATTGCATTTCGTCATCTTGTCTATTTCATCCTGGTTGAAAGATCCTGCCAAGCAGATACCCCGTCTTTTGTCTATTTTATTTCTCGTGTTATTACATCTGACAAGGCCTAGACCGCGTGAACTGGGCTGTACATATTACATAGAATAAATGGTGCACATTTATCTGTGAAATATGAGCATGACTCGTACCTATCTACTGACTCTTCGTACCTGATTGTCTGTCACGACGACTCGAGCCTCATAATACATACCTAATAAAGCCCACCAAAATATAGACCGCCGATACCAATAACGACACCAAATCCAACCACCACGCACCAACCAACCGCCACAAAACCAATTCCTGAGTAATAATCACCACACAATACACCCCATACCAACGCCTATTGGCGAAAAATTTTCATTCATGGTGGTCAGACAATAAACGATCGCTGGCTGTGAGGAACGCCACGTTGGCGCCCGCTAAACAGGGAGGGTGAATCCTGGGGGATCTGGTTGGTCAGAGCAGCTGTGATCATGGGCGTGATGTGGATGATCGGCTGGTGGACGATGGGTCTAGTGCAGGTCATTTTTTACTTACATGTTCTACATGCTTCCATGGTGATGTATGTTGATTTGAGGGTTAAGGATTTGGGAGCTTGGATGTGTATTTCAGGGGTTTACTGGCGATCGTGTACTTGTACTATGTACTAACTATGCAGGCAAATATACATCCAGCGATGTACAAGTACATATCTGAATTTGGCGCTGTAATATTGTATTGGCGTAAGACCTGCACGTATTTCCCCACACAACGCTCTTGCTTTTTCTGAAACGAGCCAATTGCCAGTAGTGTAGTTGACGGTTGTCTCAGCCCGGTGATTCATCATTGGTCAGGGGGTGGAATAGTTAGTTCGGGTACTAGTTAGTTAGTGGTTGTGGATTACTTACGATACATGCAGAGCCGTATGGTGCTGTACTTGTATGTACAGAGCGCTTTTAGCATGAGATACAGAGCTCTAGTTCGAGCTTTGCTAAGGTGTATCGTTTAAATCTTTCTACCTTGGCCTGTATGTTGTGGTCAGGTAGTACAAATAGACGCGTAGGGTGTTGCGTTCATCCTACGCCAAGTCCGGGGTTCATCAAACCAATTCATGAACAGTGCTCTGCATCACCTCCGTATACGCATTTCTAATCCGGACTTCATTCCTTCATGCAGTGCAACGGTACTTGTATGATCTCTAATTCCCCTTAAACGCCCTGCAGGCAAACTACCGTCACATCTGCATATGTTTAGTCCACAGCATGCCCTTGATAGGAAATGAGCTAACCGATCAAACTGTGAAGATCACACTATGGACAATAGCTGTATTTGCCCTTGGTATGTGTCACATAGACCGGCTCTACCCTTAATGAAACCTTATTATTTTTGGATTGTGAGTGTCATTCAGCTGTGAGGTTGGGGTTGGAATGCTTTGGTGTACTCGGGCATTCAGCCGCATTTTGATATGCAAGAATGAGCATTAACACAGACCTAAGAGTAATAGAATCAAATGCTCTCTTATGCTTCTTTCCAAAGTGTCTTTAAATGATTGAATACAAGTAAACTCAAGAAATAGACTGGATGTATTGTAATGTACCTGACTAAGCACCCCCTGTCAATCTGCCACAACTGACTTACCGCCCGCCGTAGTGAGTGCCCGAATCCCCCGAAGGCGAAGCGAATCTCGTTCCTTTTTCTTCTTCTTCTCTTCTTCTTTCCTCTCCTCCTTCTCTTTTCTATCCTCCATCGTTGTTGTTTCTTTCTCATCTTTTCTCCCCTTCTTATTCTTCTCCCTGCTCCTTTTTTGCTTTTCATCTTTTTTCCCTTTCTTTTTTTCTGAGAAAACCGCGTTTCTCTTCTTCCTTCACCTCCATCCTTTCGCTCCACCAAATTCCCCTCTCCAATTTGATAGCGCCTGGCAGAGATTGCCGCGTCAAGAAACCTCCAAGGCCACGCATCTCCCCGTGCCTCTGTCAGCAGTCTGGATTCGTCCGATCCTTAATTCGTTGATTGTTTCGAAGACTCGCTCGACCAAACTCGAACCTACTTCTTCCGTACATAGACCCGATTCTCAAATTCTCCTAAAATCCTTCTTTTTCGACACTTCCCCATCTTTCCGTGTGCTTGCCTTGTCGAGCCTTTTTCTTTTTTCTTTTTTTTTTTTTACCGCTTTTCGCCTGGGATTGCAGAGCATCTCCCACGCGTCATCTCTCCATCGATCCTTAATTGATACAGAAGGCTCCGATTTTACCTTCCAGAATTCTCAAAAGCTCGTTATTTCTCCTCTCTTGGTGACGTTCGGCTACGTCTGTTGTCTATCCTTCGCTATTCAATTTTGATCGTTTGATCCGATCATCGACAAATCACTTTGAAAAAAGTACTTCGCTGTACAAATTCTCCTTAATCCTTCGCTATTTTTCCTACTTTGATTTCGACTTCATTCTTTCGTTTTCTTAATCTACAGGTACGTGGAAGTTTGTTGTCGTCATTGATTGAGCCGCGTGTCGCTAACTCGGACCAGGCCGTTGGGTATAGCGATCGTTTTGCATAATTCGCCAAACCAAACGACGTTGGTTAACCTCGCGCGTTTCGTCCTCGTCATTACACTCCCTTAATACCTTAATTCACCCTTCAGTGGTTGATTTCGTTTACCCCGATACGACTTCGTTTTTTCTCACGAACATACTTTCGCTCGCGTTGTTTTTTTTTTTTTTTTTTTTTTTTTTTTTTTTTTTTTTTTTTTTTTTCTGTCTTTTTCGATCTCTCATCTACGACCACGAGTATGGACACTGGCGGTCTTGCTCAAATGACTTACAACTCTTCTTTCAACAATGGCGGTTCCATTGGCGTTCCGAGTTCCAGCTTTTCCTCCCGCGGAAAGGGTTCTCATATCAAACGCCTGAGTGTTCCGCCTCCTCATATTTCCACGATCGATGAATCTCAGCCGTCTGCGCCGCTTCAGACTCCTCGTACCAGCCGCTCTCATTTGCTGGCTGGCTTGAGGACTGCTCCAAAATCCGCGACGATCCCTTCTGCGCACCAGCAGCACCTCGGTCAGGACAACCATCGGTATGCCGTTCGTCCCGACCGAGCTGCTGATCGTGTGCCGCAGACCGCGACGGGAACTGGATTTCCCCGCCACTCGTTCGCCTCGAATCAGAATGTGGATACGAATACTGGTCGTCCGGTGTACACCCTGCCGGAGCAGGTGCTCGCACCTCCGGTCCTCGACGTTGGCGCCGACCTGCCCATGGACGATAATTTGTACGCAGAAATGATGTCCACCAACTTGTTCTTGGCAGCCCAGCAGCAACGCCTACAGCAACAATTGATCAGCGTCACCACGGCGGCTCAGCAGTTCCAGGGTCTCAGCCTGGGAATGCCTGTTGCCTCGCAGCAATCCCTTTCTCTGCCTGGCATGGGCTTCTACCAGCAGCAGCTCCAACAGGGGGTGCAGCCGATCGTTCAGCCGGTTCTTGGCCAGCCTGGTCTCTTTTCTGTCTTTAACCCTCTCACTGGTCAGCAAAACTACATCTATGACAATTCCGCCCAGCAGCAACAGCAACCGCAACAGCAACAGCAGCAACAGGATGCTGGTTCTTCGCTTTACCAGGAAGAGCAGAGAGACCAATTTCAAGAAGACCTGCACGTTCCTACTTTCCGTGCTGAAGTTTCCCCTCCGCCGGAGTCGAGACAGCTGCAGCGCTCTGTTTCTCCCCCCAAGTCCAGTCCTTCCCCTCTCCAGGAAGTTACTCCCTTGCCCCCGCCGTCTGCGAACGCCTTTCGAAGAGGCCACAAGAAGAGCTCGTCCTTCGCGCCTAGGGCGCTTGATACAGCCAAGGCCAACAACACTGCCGTGAACAGTGCTGTTCCTAAGACCGCCGCATTGCCTCCGAAGACCTCCGCGTTGCCCCAAACACCGGCCACAGGAACCTTTGGTCCCGGACAAGGACGTGCGGGTGAGCACCCTATTCGCCAGCCTCGTGGACCGCCCTCGATAGAGGAGCTGGTAGCGAAGCCCACTTCCAAGCATGAAGGTAGCAAGAACTTCGCGACGCGTCAGCGACGCCGCGCTGTTCACAACCTGGTGCGTGCGGGAATTGAGCGACGCGGAGAGACTCGCAGCTTCGGTTACCACAGCAGTGGAGGCACCAACACCCCAGCGAGCGAGAAAGAGTTCACCTTCTCTGATAGCGACGACGCTACTGTGCGTAGCGGCAGTCTGTCCAGCAAGCCCAGCTTGGGCAGCCTGCGTGCCGCGGCTAATGGCGCCATTGGTTCCGAGAGGAAGGAAAGATCTTCTCGGGAGCGCAAGTCGGAAAGCCCTTACAGCGGTACTCCCACCAGTGAGGACGGTGGAAGCTTCTTCGGTCCCTCCGGCAAGTTCGCGGACGTCCGTGCGGATCACAGTTCGTCTCCTACAGGAACGCCTTCAGTTGCTGCAGTCGTTGCTGGACAGAAGACGGCAGCTCCGGGTCCCGAGAGACGCAAGACTCCGATGCTTGTGTTATCTAGCGCCGAAAAGCGCAAGACCCCGATTGTTTAATATGGCACAACGTCATTGTAATGTGACAAAGAGACTTAACGGACATACTGGTGTATGATTTTGAATTTTGCTTTTACCGTTCGCTATTTTTTTGCTTTCTGATTTACAAGTGTTGACACTGGCAATTGTCTTCTATTTTCTTTTCTATTGAGTGTGTTTTGGACATACGCACGCTTCCATCCAAATCTTGATATGATTTTTCTTACTCAATTTTATTATTTCGATTCTATTCATTCTTTTTGTCTCCATTACTCCAACAGATTGATGAATGTGAACTGGGTTGTATTTGAACTGCTTTCCTGGCTTGCGCTGTTTGCTTGTCTATTGATACCAATAAATGCATCATAACATGGACATCGTCAGGTCTTTGTATGGGAGTAAATGACCAGGGATGTCTCATCTCTAGTTGTCTTGTACCTTGGGCTATAGGCCTTTTCTTCACAGTCACGCATATGCAACGGTAAAAGGACTCGTTTCGAAGCGAGATTTGTACATGTAGAAGTCTATCATTGCGCGTAGATTTGTTGATATCAGAGCATTCCGCGGAATCAATTTGGATCTGTACTCTCTCGAGAGTCCCCTTTCTTCTAGCCCAAAGGAGTTCCAGACCATTAATTGCTGGAGTTTTATAAATGATGGGTAGATCTGGCTTTCATCATCACTGTATGTGGTACGCAGGAGCTATTCAAAAAATCATGAATCTTTCTATATTGTTTTCTTCCCACACATAGGAGAAGCAAAGAGATGACACCTCACAGATTTGGTTTCAGGGAAGCTCTGTGAGAGCAGCATTGCTCATTTCTCTGGGATGAGTGAGGTCCAAGATGATTGCAAGGATGAGCTGTGTGGTGTACAAGACTTGAATTGGGAGACATTTCAAAGAACAGTCATGTGACGGTATGTTTGATGAGTCTTGCTGACTGACTTTTGTGAGCAAGGCTTTGGGGCTCTCAGTTGTCTATACTCACTGTTTGTGAGCAGTTCATTGGGTTAAAGAGTGTGAGATGTTCTTGAACGAAGGAAGTTGTTCAATTTTTTTGGGTCCAGGCACTCCTCCATCTCTTCATATTCCCTAATGATTGAGCACAAAATTGGTGATATGGCGACAGCTTGGTTTCCAACAAAGCAAGCAAGGTTTCGGGTTTTTTATATATATATAACTTGAATCCCCTAATGCATCAAGGTTCTTGTGGCATGGTGACAGTGGATCTTATGCCTCAAAGTTGATCAGTTCTTTTTGCGTAAGATTGAGATTGTACCTTTCGCTGTCACGGACCGTCTGCGCGGAAGAATGTGGCGTTTCTGAAGGTGAAATCGGTCGAGCAACTATACAGACACACGGTGCCTGGATTTGGCGATTTCTTCCACACTACCATGAGGCTCTCCCAGGTAGGAGGTTTCTCGTCATTCGTATATCCCATATACCCAGTTATACCGGGATTAGCTGGCCCTAGCTCGTAACTATTCTCGGACGGACCTACATTGTGCCATGTAGCTTCTGTGCGCCCGGTTGACGGACTCTGCGGCTTCAGAGGGATGTGGCAGCCCTGGCCTATTTCTTGGACTGCGCCATCAACTTGGCCAAACCGGCCAGAGTGAGCAGTAACTTGACTGGGCAATTTGGACTGCCTTGACAAAACTGACCGGTAGTCATTGGGTCTTGATCTGGTGGCATGTTGAATTGTTGATATCAAATTTATGGACATTCTTACTTGCTCCCCTTCGTGTACCGTAGCTCTATGATGAATTGAAGATGGATGCATTGAAGGTGGTGCTCCAGCAGGGAGTGAAATTCCAACGTCACCCCAGCTCAGGTATTCGTCATCGCAGTAATGGGAAAGCAGAATGTCGCCAACACGTGCTGAAGTTGCAGACTGGAGAACCAAAGCTGCGAGCTGGATTAGGGCACGGTCCCATGAGACAGTGCCGTGGGAAATTGCACGCCGTAACCATGTTTCAGCCACATCACCCACTCTTTCGCTCCGGGCATTGACTTAGCACATAGCTTAATAAGACTGGCATAGGGCTCATCTCATTTACCTTGGCTGGGACTTTATTCAGCGCATCACCGCCCTCTTGATCACGATCGTCCTGTTCTTGCTCTCCTTCACTGAAAAACCCACCAATACGAAACAGCTTAAGGTGTGATCGCGCCGGCCAGCAAGGCTTCCGGTTCATGTGTTGTCGGTCGACGTTGTGAAGCTGTTTTCCAGTATAGTTTTGGGACAAAGCGACGCTGGCCGTTGGAAATCTTTGGGGGTATAACACCAAGGGTCATTGGCTCGAAAGGAATTTCTTGTCAGATAGACCTAACGCATATCAGAGCTGCCCGGTAACACAAGTATCGTCTGTGTGAAGACACAGGTCACCGTAGTATAGCGGAAGTAGCTACAGCTGGTCAATAGGTCTGGTATAGGGAGGCCTGCATAACCGTGACCCGGCAGAGGAGAATATAACACGGATGATGTAAAGCATCATCGGACATGCTGTCGCTCTCTGAGGCTTTTTGTCTGAAACCCATCTCTTTTGTACGTGAAGTCAAGGGACATTATCTTAGTTTGCAATATAGCATCATAAATGCCTTTTCACTACTTCACGGTGCCATATATAAAAGCACCCTTGAAGGAATGGTTATCAGTATATTCAAATAGCATGTAAAGCGATTTTTGAGGCCAAAAATGAGGCCATCATCCGCCTCTCTTCAGCGCTATGTGTGATTGTTCCTGATTTCGATCAGGCGGTTATGGACAATATTCCATCCAGTCGCGTACTCGCACCGCTATTTCAGAATTCGGCTTTTCCGTCGACCCTCTTCCCAACTGCGACTATTACATAGGTTGGGTTTTTTCCTGGTCCGTATGGCCGGATGATATGGAGTATCATCATAAGTCGAGCGTCCACGACTCGCTCTCCGCATTGTAACAGTAATCTATAGAACACAAGTTGGCAATTCTTCTTAAAAAGGGGGACGTCGACTATAAATAACCGGGAGAGCACGGCGCAAGGATGGATCCCCGCCGCTGTTGACGGCATTCTCGTCTTGCTAAAAATCACTCACACTCAGACAGAGCACCCGTTGGCTACTTTGAGCGCCCAATTGCGCAGTCCCTCCAATTGCAGATGGGGAAACAAGGGCAGAGGTTTGCACATGAAGTCAACCTCTCAGATAGCCGGTAATGAAGGAAGCCCCGAACTCCAAATTCTGGGAATGGGAAACTAATTCCCTTTATGGGCCCCTTTCACCTTAAAGTTAAGACTGGGAAGTAATGATGTAGGATCATAAGTGACAAGAACGCCCTCTCACAAATGACTGGTTCGCGAGACAACTTGCGCTCGCAGAACCAAATGTACCGCAATACTGGCTCAAAGCCCAGGCGCGCTCCCAAGTGAACAGTCCTTTGACGACCAGTCCAGGGGGGGGGGGGGGGGGGGCAAGGGCCAGTGCTTGTGCAAGGAGGCAAGACGCAAACTAGTCACCAGTCAGAAGCTCACAGGCTCAACAAAAGCCCAGTCATCGACCCTAACTGGAGCAGGTGGGTGACAGGACCAAACTCTCCGAGGAGTTGCCCGCAGACGGCGGAAGTGACTCTGGGTTTGTAGACTCGCGACGGCCGAAGCGCGACATTAAGAAAGGTTGTTTTCTCTAAAGTCCAGAGACCTTTCATTATCCTGGTATTCATTTCGGCTGGGTAGGGTCACGACGCAGAATAGTAAATTAGTGTTAGGGCAATGTGGTTGATTACTATCTCTTCGATAGGGGCATCCTGTTAGTGACTATGAAAGAAGAACAAAAAAAAGGAGCTGGCTCACCAAAAACGATGCAGTCTAGCAACACAATAGCTCAAAGTACTTGCTAGTCAGATTGATTATTAAGGCCGCGTGTGTCGGTGCTAGAGCGAGTGATTGTATAGACCTCCAAGATCGAGGATCTTGGTATTCGCTCCAACCTGCGGACGATGCCGCGGCGTAAACGCTACTGTCTTTGCTCATATTTCCTGATTGACGGGCGTTTCTTCTGAATTGTCTAGGGTGCTCTCTGTTCTTCGGTGAGCCGCCCTAGCTCAGGCCGGGATAAGGAGGGATCTAATGTTGTATCGGTTCCGAACGCATGCATAGAACAGTTGTGTTCTCCGTTGTTAGACCGGGATTTTAAACACCGTTCTTGGTTTCAGGATAGGCTCAGGACATAGAAATTGGAGACAACCATCGATTAAACAAGGTATGTTCACCACTAGCTGAGAAAAGAGTCCTGGCAAACAGTTATCCTTTGGATAAGTTCTCAAAACAGCCGGATCTCAGGTAAGACACGACGCGGTGTCCGCGTTTGGAGACCGTAGGAACAGGCACTTTTGAATAATTAATATTGAGGGCTGGCTTATTGATATCCGGGTTCCAGGGATTCAATTGGCGTTAGTTCTACGTCACTTGGTAAAGGCTGGTTATTCAATCTGGTAATGCTTGCCAGAACCTGATACCAGCACCTTTTTTGTCATCTTCATTGTGCAGAACGCAGTCTTTGCTGGATTCGGTGGCTCGAACGAGTCTGCTTCCACCAGTAGTCAATGTGTCTTCAGTCTTCGGAAAGTATTCATCAATAGACTGGAAAACAGAGCTCTTTCTTGCTAGCTGACAAGATCTTGTTGTTCTTTGGTAGACCCGGTTGCGCGTCCTGGATATAGCGTAACCCTTGTATCCCCACCATCGATAGCATAGATCCCATAGAGGCGAGATGACCCCATACATCCATTTTTGTGTGAGAATGCCAAAATCTCTGTTGAATCACAGCTCACTGGTCTGCTCTTGCTCGTTGCATAGTTATATTTTCCAATGTTCTTCTATCAAGCGGTAGACTAGTTTGTGACCATGGTGAGTCGCCATGACACCATTCACGCCTGTTCATGAGCATGATAAGGCCGAATAATAATGGGCTAGCATCTTTCCAATAACGATTGGAAAAATACACCTGATGCTTCGATGGCATGGCAATTCGAGTCTCTTCGTGTGTTGACGAGCGCCAACACTCGAGACAACCTGTGTTGAAGATACTGAATGGTATATCTGATTTTCCTTCTCTTTACAAAGGCTCTAACAAAGCCCCATGGCTTCTGTCGGGCAAAAAGAGTCTATACCAAGTAAGTATAGACGTGTGACGACGGCAATACATCGCCAGTTTTCCCTCCATGCCCCATGGATTCTCAAAAAGCTGGGTGGGAATGTTTCTCCATTGGTGTTAGGACTCTGTCCCTCCAGCTTATTACTGGTCATGATTTAATGTCGCTGTGATTAATGTCGTCACTGGCATTTCGCTGTAAATTCGAGCGCGATTCATGCGGACCAGAGCCCTATAACATGGATATTATCAAGGACCACATCCTTCTGCGCAATGGCGTAAGCTTGACGCCCAATTAATCGTAAACATTCTGGCCTGTGTTCCTCGTATCCAGTAATCAAGACTAGCCAGGTTACCAGCGTGCTCAGCCCTCACTCAAAAACAGGGCAAGAAGGATTCGGGATCGCCAGTGATAGGAAACATGTCAACGGTGGTTCCCAATGGCTAAACCCGATAGTTTAATCTGACTCGATGAGAGATAAATTCAATATCCCTGACTCTTATAGACTTCACAAGCCGAAATGCGGAGAGAGAGATGCAGAGAGCTCGTAGACGAGTCAGAAAGAGGGAGATCTTCCCGGAAGAATGACGAAGATCCATCCCCTCCAGCAGTGAAGTCATAAGACCAGCAGACTGACAAAATGAATAAATCCTGACTCATACTGAAACACAAGAGCTACCCAGTCAACGGGCATGAATCGACAGGAATGAGAACACAAGGCAGATGATCTACATCATGTGATACATTAGCCCGAACTTAAACCATAAGTACTTGTACTACTAGAATTGAAGGCAATGAGCAAAAGTACGGAGGAGAGTGGTATAGTAGGGCTTATTATAGACTGATTAAGAAGGAAAGTTATTATGCTTGATTATTATTGTAAAAAAAACGCCAGTAGCACCGACACCGACACCGTACACCATACAGAACTGAATAACAGACAACAGAAAACCTCGCTTTTGCTTTTTGAGTTAACATCCAATGAAGTCGAAGAACATGCTAATTGAAGACAAGGCTCAAGAGAAACAACACGCTAGTAACAGTACATAGGCAAAACAAATGCTAAGTCCATCAAATAAGCCAATCCCAACATAAGCAAAACCAATGCAAAAACATAATCACAAATTGAGACAGCCAACAGACATAAACACACGCTCAAAAACAGAGACAAATAAGAAATCATCACAAAGGAGATCGCTCAAAGGACCGTGATAAATGCAACAAACCAAACCAAACAAGACAAATGGGATATACCAAGTATAATCGTCAGGTAAAACACGCAAGAAACAAGTTTCCAAATATATAGAAGTAAATAGATGGGTAGATTAGAAAGCGAACAGTGCGCTCCGCTTCTTTCCAAAAGGATAGACCACCAAAGCCGCAAGGAACAGTCCCACGGTAAAACCGATGGCGACCTGGACCATGCCGTACGCAACATCGAATGTGACTCCACGGGACTGCGCGGAAGTCATGTTCTTAGCTGCGTCCATGAAACCCTGTGTACCGTTGTTGACCACAGCGTATGGTGATGGGGAGTAGTTCATCTGCTCGGCCGCTGCAATTGCGGAAATCAAGGATCCGCTCGCGGATAGACCGGAGGGAACGAGGACCCAGATGGCGGGGAGCATGGCAGCTGCGGCGAGGCCGTGTCGGAGGCGACTGTACAAGTTTGCCAGAATGCCGACGACAAAGGCACCCACGGCGTTGGCGACCTGAGTGTTGGTGGCGAAGCGTTTCGTGGCGAAATAGTTGACAACGTAGCCTGCGAAGGCGACGAATAACATTACAGGGAGCTGGCGCCATCTCGCCTGGTTGACGAGAGCGAGGCAGATGCTGAAGAGGATGACGAATGGGAATCGTTGGAGGTATTCGTTGGGGATAGGAGAGGGAGGACAGGTGTAGTCGGTGGACGCGGTGGAATCGAGACAACCGTAGATGGCAGTACCAATGGTAATACCAAAACCGAGGAAAAGAGAGTAAATTATAGCGTAGACGAGACGGACAGATCCGGCAACCATGTTGCGCGACTGCAGTTCCAGACTGGCGCACAGCACGATGTATCCGGGGAGAATGAGGGCGATGGAGGACTGGGCCAAGGCGGAGAAACAAAAGAGTGGTTCGCCATTGTAGCGAATGCTACCAAAAGCGCGAGCGAGGAAAGAGGTCAGGATAGCGGCAGAGACTTCAAATACGTTTGCATAAAGTTCCGATCGGGGCGCCAGAACCAGCTGTAACACTCCCAAAAGGCATCCAAGGGCAAACGCGACGGGCATGTCGATAGGGCGCGCATTGAATGCAAAAGGACCCACCAAGGCAGCGGCACATCCGTGAATGAAGACGCGAAACAAGACGTGGTGCTGGTCTTTCCGCTTCATGATTTCGTCCAACCGCTGAGTGGCCTCCTCCACACCGATCACATCGTGAATAACCTCCTTGTAGATAACGTGCACGTCGGCCAATTTGCCCAACTCCACGCCTTGTGTCGACCGGACCACCTTGACCTCGGTGGTGTGTGTCGATGTATCATCGAAGGAGATAATCATGCATCCCGGAAGATACAGGAACTGGGCCTCAATCTCCAACACCCGACATGTCATGTTCATATACTCCTCCAAACGGTGAGTCGGGGCACCGAACTTCATCAACGCTCGACAGAGACGAATCACATAGTGCTGACGTGCAAGCAATTCGGCGATGTGAACAGTAATGCGAATCTCCTCCTCCAATCGTGGTCTCCCCATGCGCTTGCCGCTGTTGCTCCGCGAGCGTTTGAGCATCGCAATAGGCGAACTGATCGACTCCTTGATCGTTGAGCCAGACAGAGACGTACTCGACACGTTGGGCGATTTCTCGTACCATTTCCTGGGGCGCGGTGGAAGCTTCCAATTCGGGTCTGGCGATAGGCCTCGCGCACTCAGCTCACTGGTGCTGCCCTGCTGGGAATGCATGTATCGACCTCGTTGGTACTGGGGGTTGCTGTCACGTTGATCGTTGAGTTTGAGGAGGGCTGAGAGAATTCCACCACGGTAATGGCTTGGGCGTTCGACATAGCCGTCAGGGTCGCGCTCCCCACCTGGGCTCGTCTGTCCCGAGCGGAGTCCTGAGGACGGTGCGGGGATACGGTTCATGAAGCTGAAGTCCCGTCGAGTCATCCGCTGAACGAGCCGATGAGCTTGCGATGACGATGATGATCCTCCACCTATCGCGTCGCGCTCATCATCCGAGAAGTCGTCGTAGTCTTTGAATTGCTTTTCGGGAAGGCTGATCATGGGAATATCATCCCCATCCTCCGACGGCAATGCAGCTTCAGTGGGGGTAGACGCAATCGAAGATTGTACGCTCGACCGAGGACTAGGTTTGGGAGACTTGCCAGACCGACCAAGAAGGGATGCTAGACGCTGGGCTCGTTCCTGAGCAGAGTGGATAGCTTTTGTGCTAGTTTCATCGCTCGGAGAACTGGCCCGTGAGTGGATGGTAATACCATTGACAGGCGTTGGGGAGCTTGTGCTAATGTCGACAAGAGGCAGCGATTGGGCACCTGCGGAAACCTTGTCCGTCGATGGAATGCTGGCCGTCGGCATGGGCCTCTGGAGCAATGTCGTCGCGGTCTCTGACGCTGACCTGCCGGGTCTCTGGTCCAGGCCGTATTCACTCACAGTAAACTTAACGCGGTTCGCACTTTTCAGAATGCCTGCATTCCGATTCCTGCTGCGTGCTCCTGTGGGATCCAACGGTTGCTCTTCATTCGGGGTAGGCAAGGGGGATAGACCTGGCCATGGAGAAGATCTGCTCGCACCCCCAGATCCGTCGGTCATGCTCGAACGTCGGGACGATCCAGCGACGGGAAGATCGAAGTATCCTCCAACCATTGTAAATTATATACTTTTCCTTCTTTTCTTCTGCGCTTTTTATATGTCGAGACAAATATAAAACGTATCTCCGATCAACGGAGTCTGTCGTAATATGTTTCGTTTCGTCTTCAGTCTTTCGGTAGATAAAACAATCTTGCCCCTCGGGTATTCTCCTCCTTTCCGTGGGTGACGCTAAGAATTATGGTATGTCCTAGCCTTTGGTCAGACGGTGCATCACGAGACAAAATATGAATCTAACTGGATCTGGGGAGGTCCAGCCAGCCCCGGAAGTACGCACCTTATTAGAACAATGAGTCAGAAAGAATGAGACACGGACAGAAGAACCTTGGGACGCAGTAGTACCTTGACACTCTTATCAAAGAATTGTCAATCGGTTGGACTGACGGAGACCGAATGGGGGTAGAGGGCAGGTGCCGCTACAAGGAATGATGGTACGTCACGAATACATATCAAGATGTTCGTCGTAGCAGGTAGTGTTCCAGGGGAGCTCCACGATCAGATCGATAAGAGAATAAAGGCAGAAACAGAGATAGAGGGGAAATGGGGAGAGAAAGATGAGAAAGTGAGAGGGGCCACAGAGAAAGAGTAAGAAAGAAAGTATAATCCACCAGCACGAGGATATAACGGAGAATGAGCCAGATCGGGACAGCTGACAAAAGAAAGGTCCGCCTGATGGAGGATCAAGAGTAAAAACGGCCGTGGTTTCTGGGACAATGGAGGACAGAGAAACGGATCGAGACCAATCACTGCGTTCAGTGCACCACCCGGATCATATGCAAAAAAGATACAATCCACCTCACAAACGCCTCGCTTTTTCCACCTTGGTCTGTGTCGCAGGATTTCTTTTTAAACCAAAAAAAGGATAGGAAAAATTTCCCACTTTCCGAAGACAGGAAAATAGAGGTCGAAAGAGAAAGTGATGAGGAGAGAAGTAAACACAGAGGAGGGAGCAGGAGAATTTCTATAGCGTGGTTGTCTGGCTTTGCCACGATGATAAATCACCGGACTAGCAAAAAGGACTTGATAAAACTGGGGCGTATGAGACGACGAGTCCTGTAACGGAATCACACAGACCACCAGATTAAAAAATAACAATAATAATAATAATAATAAAATAAAGAAGAAAAAGGAAAGAGCATCATCCCTTAGGTCTAGAGGTCGGCGGTGGATGTGCCGTGGAGGTGACACCCAAACCAACCAGGGAGGACCAGAGCGGATGGCCGTGCTCAGACAGACTTCAGACACGAATAACTGTAGCAGGTTTTATTTTTAATTTTTTTTAATTTTTTTTTTTTTTTTTTTTTTTTGGTGGGCTGTAAATCCTGTATAGTACGGGTCTGGTTCCACGGGGTCCAGTACAGTATGTACTACCGTGAAGTGGCCAGAGGAGTCACATTCGGAGAAACTGCGCAACGCTGTCCTAGCGTTTAAGGTGATGATGTCTTGTTTATATTTTTGCTATTGTTAGCCAATCAGATACTCACGATGTTGAATCGCCGAATGGTGTACACTTTGATAAACACAGACAAGCACATACTAAAGTTATTTAGAGTCAGTTCAAGGACCAAGCTGAAAAAAACAAAGAATACGTATGAGTGAAGAGGAAAAGGATTCCACACAGATACAGCAATTGATTTGCTTGATAATGGAAAACAGGCATAGTGGAGCCAGAAAAACGGGTCTAAACACCTTCAGGTTCCTCTTAGCACCCGAAGGAGTCATCCAGAACTTCTGTGGATTCGCGGATCGTCCCAAAGTTAGGGGAATTTTTGTGGATTATCCAGATAAGGGGCTGAAATGGTTGAAAGGAGCAGCTCCCAAGGTGTTGTTGGCTGTGATGGATTCTGTTGTCGCCGAGGGGGTCCGCGGGATGTGCGAATAATCCGGGCCGTGACTCGGGTAGCCGATGGATGTTGCCATCAAGCCTTCCGATTTGCTGTGAGGATTTGTGTCGATCATACTGTTGCAGGCAGAGAGATAGATAGCTGATAGAAAGTGGTGGTGGCGGTACTTCGTTGAGAATGGAGCCCATTACGCAGCTCTCCCGTGCAGGTACATGCGACAAAGATAGATCGAGAATCCACGTACTAGGTAGGTGATTCATCCCATGGCTGTCACACTAATAAAATATGAAAATCGTGAAGATTGAACGTTGAGCATTGAGGGATGTGAGTGGTGGTGGTGGTAGTGGTGGTGGTAGTGGTGGTGTTATGGTGGTGTTATGGTGGAGGTTGAAGTGATCGGAGGGGAGCCGCACGTCAGGTCATACGAATACGTCCACCTCAGCCATCCCCTTTCCATATCTCTGTGAAGGATCAACAGACTCGACTGGATTGTCATTCTATGCACTGGCCATTTATTCTTTACTATCAATAGCGCTAACTGTTTCTATCTCTTTATCTGTCATATCATTACTCTTGCTATCAGTAACGGAATATCAGATACTATCAAGCGATGCGCCGGTCTTGAGACAATTGACGCCGATATAAAACAAGAACAACTCAAATTTCGCGATTTCGATGAACACGTCGACATGCGCATTCAAGCCTCCTTTTCCTGGGTTTCCTACCGCCTCCACTGTCGACTCCTTGTGCACTGTTCAGTCATCGTCACTGTGCGCACCATTGTGCAACAAAGCGAGGCATCAAGTTCTACAACCCCTTTTTGTATGATGTCAAAGGGTGTCTCAAGTTCTGCATCTTTGCTGTCAGTGAGACGTGGTCGAGTGGCCGATTGATAGCTGTCATTTATCGTCTAACTGCCCGGAGCGTTTTCTGACAGATACATCGTCCCTGGCCCCTGTATATGCGATGCATGCAGCTTGATCTTTGCATCTGACCCAGCAGCTTATTATCCTGAGACCGACCGTCACAAATCGTACTCACAAGCTTACGATCGATACAGTACGGAGTACGATAGAAACGATTAGAATCTACGGCTCGTTTCCTCTCACGAGTGCTCTGGACCTAGCCCCATCCTCCTCACAAAGCAACACTTATGGCTACGCGCATCGCTCTCTACTCAATTGCCTAATAGCCATCTCACCTGTACCCGCCTCCACAACAGCCAGCGCAATCTCAACCGAATCACCTCCCTCCACAATGCATCACACAGCACCGTCGCACAAATACCGGAGTGCATCCAAGAAATACATTACCGCCCTACCCACCTTCTCGTCCAACATCTCTTACCCGCAACGGGGTACATTCCCCCGAAGCCATTAGTGACCGAGGTTGACAGTACAACCTCGGCCAGCGCAAGGACCAATACTTAATTGTGGGATTGGGGAAGGGCTGAGGAGGGGAAAGGCGAGAACTCTGTGTGGAGGGCATGGTTGCACGAATGGGAAAGTTGGACAGGGAACGGATAGTACATCCGCGGAGGCTTGCTGATGATGTGCGATCGATGATGGTAAGTTTCCGTAGTTGGTGATATAAGTACAGCACTGGTACAGTGACGTACGCAGATGATTCTGGTTTTCCATCCTGTATACGAGGACAGTAGATCATCTGATTGGCTAAATCAAATGGAGCCCTAACAAACAGCGCATAATACGCACCATCCTCAGATCCCACTGATCCAGCTCAAGCCACGCGTAAAAAGAAAAGAAAGAAAAGCAGAAGCTAAAACAATCTAAATGAATTCGCCATCGCGATAAAGAAAAAGAAAAGCTAGAATGGGCATATATCAAAAACTACTTTCGGAGCACGCGATGGACCCGTCCAGACCCGCGCTATCTATAAATGCTTACGCTTCTTGAAAAATTTTCCACCCACGTGCATATCCAAATCCTCAAACACAGACTTTTTTCATGCCTTCCGACGCCACGCTATTTCCGATGCAATGTGCCATGTAATATATGCAGTAATATGTTTCTTTGTTTATCGCGCATGATACATTGCAGTTAGATCCAGGTACCCGTCAAGGTAATCAGGTACGAGAAAAGGCTCGGATTCGAGCTAATGCTAGCTCGAGCTCGGACTTGCTGCCCAACTGTTGTTTTTATTTCTCTTTTTTTGTTTTATTTATTTACTGTAAAGGTGCTACGGATAGAACGGGTTGGGTCATGCGGACGATATAGCTCGTTTGAGATTTGAGCTATAGCCCACTCCGTATACGAACAGAATTTTCTAGAGCAAATAACTTTCCTCTTCTGGATACTTAATCGGTTTTCGGCATGAGATTAAAACTGCTCTGGCCCTCATATAAAGCCGGTAGTCCCCAGCCAATCATCCATTCTGACTGCTCCGACATAGTCCTCTCCTCTGGCCGGAATCTCAACACTGACAACAACATCGCCTTAAACGCCCTATACTCTTCCTATGTCATTTTCTCCAGACCCATCTCAGCTCGCGGTTTTCGTATACCACACTTCAATAGATAGATTGTATTACCCTAAATCTATTCCGGAACTCGACTATCCTCAAGTTTCCAGAATGATCTCTCGAGGAAGCCCGCGTCTCTGAGGGATCTCAACATCTCCTTGGAGGTCCCCCATTGACTAATTAACCGTGATAAAGTAGACGATTGTATTAAGGGGTGACTATGGAAAGTTAGCTAGAGTACATGATGAGTAGTCCAGGAAGGTGCTCAGTCTGCCAGATCGCAGATCTACCAATTATCCGCCTGATGGTCCAATATCCCGGTCCGCTACAATAATTTTATGAGATTGTCATTTCCCTCTCTATTCCAATTCCTAGTCGTGGTTGTTTCTGATTTCGATCAGACGCCGGTGGACAATGTGTCCTTGTTTCGCTGCTGATTTCATATTTCCTGGATCCACGCCAGAGTCTGACTTGGCCCCCAACAAAAAACCGAATCTTGCGGCCAACCGCAATCATGCCATATACTAGGCTTTTCCAGGTCCGGGCTGCCAGAGCTGGTAGATAGCGGTGTAACTGCTCCTTTCCACTTGCAAACGTCTCCTTCTCGTCTCGAGCCATGCGCTTGCATTGGGCGACCAGAAAGGGGCATTTGAAGTCGGGGCCGACGGCCTGCGGAACCCATTGGGAGATATACCTATCTACGAAGCGGTTTTCCGACTCCCCTTCCAATCTGCTCGCAACATTCACGGCTCACCACCGAGTTGGGCCGAAGAGAGGCCAATTAATTACCTGTGCGCTAGCACAACGATGTCAGGAAAATTCAAAAGGTTGTGTCTGGCTGTTGTTTAACGCGTCTATGCAATGTTGAAAGCGGTGCGCGTAGTCTTCTGACTTAGAGAAATAATGTTTCATGATCATGTCCCAGATGCCAGTTATTTTTTCCCTCATAATCAGCGGGAACCACCGAGTTGATCTCAGCCTCGATAGCTTCGTCGAAATAGAAACGATTCAACTAGATGTGGGAGGTGGTGATCATCGGAATGGACTGGTTGAGAAAGGAGATGGTCGGTCGAGTATGTCCTTCTTATAAAGCTTCCGAACTTCCAAAGCAAAAACCGTACCATGTCCGATGCCAACTTAAAGTAAATCATCGGTGAATACCCAGCGATGATAGCTTTTAGAATCCCGGGTATTCCATCGGATCGCGCATCTGCCTTTCTGGACTTTGCTTTCTGTTTCTCGTTTGTGGAGTAGCGACGCTTTTGGTGCTGCATCCTTTTGAGAAATCTCAAACAGGTTGTCAACCAGCCTGGTTTTCTTTGGCTGTCGTCGATGATGGCATGCTTGCAATTGAATAAATATCCGAAGATTCTTTCTGGACAAGGTTCCTGGATCCAAATGCCAATCAAAAGTTCAAATATTGATTTTCACGAGGGTGTCGACTCGCAGTCGACCATGTGGTCATTTCATAATTGTCCGCAAACTCGTATAAATGGATGTAAAATCATGTTTAGCTGTCGAGGGCTTTTGAGTTTGTCGTGTGTATTAAAATCCCATTCAAGATGCAAGCAATGGGTCCTCTCTTTGTTCTGGGTTTCTCGCACACATCGATCAACGATAGTTGCCAGTAGGCTAAACACACTGAGCAGTGTCTATGGCTCCTTTGATGGAAGACACCACTGTTAAATCCTGGTCTGGGACGGAAATCAGCATCATTGAGGAAAAACAATAGAAGACATGTTATGTACTTACCTGGGATGGGAAACGCAACATAGCACTGCAACATTGCAGACACTGCAAAGATATTCAAAGCCACTTTAGTATCACGCAGGCTTTGAGAAAAGCAGTACAGACAACGAGGATGGGTGGCTCGCCAGAGCTGAATGACGAGAAGTCATTTTCATCTTCATACCATCCTGGAGGTGGGTTGTACGTTATTCAGTTAAGGTAACCCCTAGTAGGTCTTCTCTTTCCATTTAAGAGCCAGTAGCACTAACTAGCGTAGTTTGCATTTGGCTTCCTCATTGTGGATGGTGGACAGCAGAGACGCAATTCAACTTGTAGATATGATCAAAGGGTGTCATCGGATACTACTTGAGGCTTAGGAACATCACACTTGATTGAGATTTTAGAAACTGTGTCTAATAAATGGGGCCACAAGCAGTGAATTGTCTGTGGCTTAGTGATATTATGTTGATAGCATTCACTAGCAGGCTAGATGATAGAAAGGAACCAGAAGTAGCTGTCATCTTCAGTGTGTATTTTGCCTGTGTATACTGGTTTCTTTCCTTTTAGTATCCATGCCCCATCATCTTGCCTCTCTGGTGCTATCGTCTACAATTGCCCTCTACGGAATCCTTCTCCGTTCAAAAGGGTGACGGACGAAAGATTGCTTCTAGTACGTGATTCTAGATAAACGGTCAGTACTTAATCAAGACACTCGTATCCTGTTGCATCGTACCATGAGAATTAGCCGTTGCTTGTTGTGTACTCACCACGGAACAGCCAAACACAGTCCTTTAAATCGGAACTCCTCCCGAGCCTCCCTCTCCCCTATAAGCTTGGCGAGAAAGTCGATAACATGGTTGCGCTCCGACTCTACCGTTCACGTCTCCTCGGGGTGGTAAACACAATAGCAGCACAACCGGCATGTCTACACCTTGGGCTGACAACCGACGGACACTTGAGAGATGTGCCGCTTTTCAGGGGTATTGAAGTGAAGAAGGGGGGCAGCGATATCGATGAAGCGAAACTTCAACTTGATAAGGTTATGAGAGATGACACCGCATCGGTGTTGCGTTTAACTTGAAACATTTCGTCTAGAACGGTCACCAACGTGGTAGACGAAGCCGACAGTCCCGGCCGGCACCTCGGGGTGCCAGCAAACAGATGTTCTTTCTACCGGTCACCGCAACATATGGAAAATGGTGTAGAAAACTGGGCAAATTGGGACCCTACATGTTCCAATGCTCTTGAACGTCGCGCCCTTTCTCTTCCTGGTCGCGTCGCTGGCCGGATGTGACTGGAAAGATGATGGCAACAGACAATTAGGAGAGTGGGATGTCGCCTTGTCAATGCACCCATCAGGGCTGGAGGTTTTATCTCCATGAAAAGGAGTGCCTTCTTATTTTCGAATTCGGAAATTGCGCGGAATCATGTCCGTTTGCCTGCTTTTCCAGGACGGATTTAAGCCTGCAAAATGGCGATTTGCGTGAGTTTTATGCCAATAAAGCTAGCAATAGCCAAGAAATGAGAGTTGCCCTTCTGCTGCCGATAAATGTCGGGCTGTCAGGGCCAGTAGTCCAAAACGAAAAACTGTTTCTGCGTTGTTTAATGTCGATCCACACATTCGGTCAACATATGCAAGAAGGAGAACAGACTAGAACTCCAGAAAGGGTTCAACCCAATGGTCCCTGCTCATTACAAAAGAAAAGACACCAGGACTTGAAATATGGGACGTCATAATGAAGCACTATTTCCCAAGGTCCGTGGGATATGTGTCCGTCGACCGGTCTCAAGACTCCATCGCAGGGGCGTCGTTGTTCGATCTCCCATCAATGGATTCCTCGTCTGAACGCCGGGCCAAAAAAAGAGTCGAAAAGCCAGTGCCTACCAGCTCTGGCGGTCCAGATCTAAAACGATATCACGGCTAGTCCAGAACTCAGCTTTAATATTGCGGTTTTGTTAGTATTCGCGTTCTACCCTTTCGTGCGTCGTCTTTAACGCATGCTATGTCACGGTACAACC